GTTCTCCACTGCAATAGCCTAGAGAACAAGAAAATCAAAGACCAGAACTACTACAAAGAGACAGAAACAAATCAAACCAACAAACCAAAAATATAACCTAAACATCAAGAACCCTGGAGCAAGGAAAACTCTAGCCACTGCTTGTGAGCAGTCTTGACCAGTTGCTGAGCTGAGAGGATGGTGTTTTGAAACAGCCAAAGATTGCGAGCCTTCCAAAGCCACCATAGCATATAGGTGGTTTATTGGATCCTGGATTCAGCCACCTCAGTTTTAGGCAATGAGCATAATTGGGACCACCACCCTCTGAAGGAAGAAGAGTAAGGCTGCAGACCATCCCAATTCACCGGGGCTAAATTCCAGACCAAGCCAGCTTTAGAGCAGTAAAACAGAACATGTTCAATGGTTTCTATCTCATTACCACAAGTTTTGCAAATAGCATCAAGTCTTAAACCTTTCTTAAGCAAGTTAAGTTTCACAGGTAAAGAGCCAGTTATACACTTCCAGATAAAATGCCTTATCTTACCCTCCACTTTCAGTTTCCAACATCTGTTAAAGAAATGACTTTGGTTCTTAGAGAGGGAGCTGCAACCAGGGATATCAAGAGCCAGAAGTTTTTGCCTATTCAGAAAAGCATAGGTACTTGCAACAGTGAATCTGCCATTTTTATTCAAAGACCAGAGCATTCTATCATCCATACCTGGTTTAAGAGTATTGATATTCAGAATAGCTTGGCAGTCAGTATCATTGAACAACTGAGAAACTAACCATTGATTCCAACCATTCCCATCAGAGTTGAGAAGCTCACTAACCCAAACAGTATGTCCTCTAGCAAGATCAAGCAGGAGAGGCTTAGGAGTTCTGAGGGAGGGCACCCAGTTTATATCATCAATTCTGGTAGAAAACCCATTTCTGATTTCCACAGAAAACCCTTTGGCAAAAACAGGAACAACAGAGAGCCAATTGGACCAAAGCCAGGAGCAATTACTTGATTTCACAGCATCAAAGATTGAGCAGCTTGGAAAATATCTGTCTTTCAAAACTCTGCTGACAAGAAGAGTGGGCTGAGAAGTAATTCTCCATAATTGCTTGCAAATTAAAGCTTTGTTAAAATTTTTCAAATCCAGAAATCCCATACCACCATCAGATTTAGGCAAAGATAAAATAGACCATGATTTCCAATGAATGCCAGAATCCTGATTCTCACATTTACTCCACCAGAAGTTAGAACAGCATTTAGAAATTTCAGAGCAGATCCCTACTGGTAATACAAAGTAGGACATAGAAAATAGGGAAAGAGCTTGCAGAACAGCTTTAATAAGAACCTCCTTACCAGCAGGGGATAACAGTC